ACTTGTTTGTATTTCATACTTGCAGGATGACGCTACGTTTAGGCCCTCAGAGCTCAGGGAAGACAACTCTATTGTTAGCTTTGGCAGGGAAACTTGAGTCAAACCTTAAGGTGCATTAACAAATAACAGTGAAATGATAATTTGGTTTATTTTTTATAATGAACGACAATTTTTATGAATTATAAACAAATTTCAGGTCTCAGGTAGGATCACTTATAATGGTCATCAGATGAATGAGTTTGTTCCTCAAAGAACAGCAGCTTATATCAGCCAACATGATCTCCATATAGGGGAGATGACAGTGAGACTTTCTCTGCAAGATGCCAGGGTGTTGGGGCCTGTTATGGTGAGTAGATGCTAAATTGGGTTCGAAGTGATTAGAGATTTGATGGTTGTTGTAATGAAGAGAAACAATGATGAAAATTTGAGAGAGGTTTGGCTAAATTATGTTTATTTTACAATGTTGCAGACATGTAACTGAGCTGTCCAGAAGAGAGAAGGATGCAAACATAAAACCAGATCCTGATATCGATATCTTCATGAAGGTAAATGGATAGGGAAACCCCCCTTAATTTTTAATATTTGGCTCTTCTTTCTATTTTTATTTGTCTTATTTTTTAGGTTTGCGGATGGCGAAAGTTTTTGGAATTCTAAAGACAAACTTGGATTACTTTTACGATGAACAAAGTGGACAGGATAACTAAAACCTTCTCTCTGTCTCTCTTACAAACACGCAGATACATCATGTACTCAACCCATACCAGTTCCGATCTAACCAGGTGGTTAGCGGTTAGATCGAGTGATTTTACGAACAATGATTTCACTCAAGTGCATGCTTGCATGTAGGCATCCATGTTGTAGTTGAGAGGGGGGAGAACATGGTTTTGTTTTGAGAAATTATAGAATGAAAAATGAGATCATTTATCTTTGGTACAAAATGGTCATACTCATCTTGGCCATTGGATGTGAAATTGAGTGATTGCAATTATTCCATTGACCAAGCTCAAATTTCAAATTTTTTTTTTTTCAAACTTTATGACACATCAAAGCTATTAAATTTCACGTTGGATGATTGTAAGTGATTGTGACCACCTTATATTAAAGGTAAATGATATACAATCCTTTAATCTTTTGACATTTTATGGTATAATTTTTAACGATTTAGCTTCAAAGAAAATGTACATTTGCTCCCTTAGGCCAAATGCTTGATATTTCATCTTTTTAGAATCCACTTTAGAATCACTAGATAGATATATTTTTTTTAGGGAAAAGTATATAATGAGATTATTTTTTGGTATAACGTGGTCACAATTAATCTTGACAGTTGAGTACGAAATTAGAGGGCCGCATTTATACCATTTACCAAGCTCAAACTTCAAAAGAAATTTTCTCGATCTTTATAACACACTTAAGCCATCAGATTTCACATCAGATAGTTGTAAGTAATTATGCCCTACGTGTCGCAAAGGTATATGATCTCATTGTATACAATCCCAAAAAAAAAAAAAAGCTCCATAACATCCAAATGACAGTAACAAATTGGATGGTCAATATGTAATTGTAGGAAATGTTTGTTCTCAAGTACTTCATCCTGAATGAGAATCCTAAAACTGCTCTAGAGTTCTACTTGAGGAAGCAAAAATTGTTTCTCCTAAAATTTCCATTTTAAAAAAGACAAAAGGCAAAGGAAACAACATCCATTTTAAATAATAAATTACAACCATCTATGACAATGCCTTGTTCTTGCATGTATAATTTACTTTTCCTTTCTCAAAAGGTTGAGGCAAATAATTCACAAGTAATTATATCATTCATGGCTGCATTTGTACCAGAACCCAATACAGGAATGAGGTTTAAGAATTTCATATCACCAACAACATTCCCACTTTGACAATTCTTCGCAAATTCTTCAAAAGCCTCGGTGAAAACTTTTCTCAGTGTATCCAACACCAGACCAAGCTTCATTTTGAAGTAGATCCTTAAATTCTGAAACAGAGGCAAGGAAAGTGAGGATACGATCCAATCAAAAAGAATATGAGGTTGTGTGTGTGCGTGTGTGTGAGAGAGAGAGAGAGAGAGAGAGAGAAGAGTCTGTGTGGTACTCCTGTAACAAGTCCATAACTCGTACTTACCCAAAAAAGAGTCGATGACTTGTGGCGGTTGAAAAGAACTTGGAACTTTCCCTCAAAGAGGCAGATTACAAAAAACTATTTCAATTTGAACTAGTAAATGAATGATATTGAGGAGCGAGAAACTAACCAAAACATCTTCCCATGAGAACCCATTTTTGAGAAGGCTTTTATTCAATATATGTACACAAAAGCGTGATATAAATCTCAAGTTTTCTTCATTTTCAAAACAGGAGTCATTTTCGTGAGCAGTTCCTTGACATATCTTGGCTGCAGATTCCGCATCAACCGAAACCACAGTCGCACACATTTTGTCATGAATAAAGTAACTATTATAGCAAGAGGTAGGCCAATTCAAATTCTCAAAGCCCCAACAATTTGAAACTTCGATGGCTGATTGAACATGACTTTCAATTCGAGAGATTGTCTCTCTTTCCTCAGGAACATGAAGCATTGGCTTCACCTCCACAAGTGCCCTGACATAGAGAAATTAACTGGCATTATTCTCTCATTCTCTCGCTTGATACACATTATTTGCTTAATTCTCTCTCTCTCTCTCTCTCTCTCATGCGCACATGATATAATGGAAAGTTTCTCAATTTGAATTCAACCTAGAAACTATGTTAAGATGGGGCATTTCAATCATTTTCAAGAAAGAAATGCTGGCAGTGAACACTACTAAGACCACAAAGAGGCTAACATAATCGATATAACAGTTGCACCAAAATTTTTTGGAGTGCTTTGCTTTTGTAATATGTCCTATCTAAAGAACAAAAAAATTATTAATTTTTGGAGAGTTTTTCCTTTTCCCTTACCCTTTTGGCAGATTGGGTGCAAGAATGTAAAGCATAATAGGGTCACAAACTCCATATCTTCCTCCATTTTGCAATTCAAGATCCAATCTTTTCTTCATAAAAAGTTCCAACTTATCCTGAAGATCAATTCTCTCAAGGGCCGTGATAGAGGCTGAACAATAAATAACTAAAAGGATAGTAGAGGAAGGCAGAGAACAGTTAAAGCTATTGGCCACTGCTTCACAGTTTTTTAGAGCTTGTTCAAGCTCAATAAGGGGGCCCCCAGAAACAAGCATCATTGTAGGAGGATCAAGCCCCAGCTGCCCAGCCATATGAAGCACTTCCTTGTGCAAAGTAGCCTGTAAAAGAACCACATTTCATCAGCTATTATAGTGTAGAAGAGGTTGATTTGAAAGATTGATTCATAAAAAATTAATTAATAAACAATAAAGCTTAGCTCACTTTTGAGCATTTATTGATGTAGATTATTAAGGGGAGACTGACACTAGGAAAGAAAGCACTTACATATGGGTTTGTAGGGTAGACCTGTAAATGGTTAACTTTGTTTATCCTACTTGACCTTTTTAGGCACTTTTTTCATATCATTTAAGTGTAATATTTTTCACTAAGAGAAATATTGTGCATTTTTTACACCCATGTATTTGAGAAGGATACAAGAAAAACTGTTGGCAAAGGACAAAGGCATGTGTCAGTTCTTGGCAAAATTTAACTGTGGACCTGTGGATAATTCTGATGTGCATTATGCATGTGAATCATCCCTGCCAATAATAGACAAGTTCCCTTGTCATGTATCCATAGTTTCCATTTCATCCCCATTAAGATAACTGAAAATAGGATGACCTTTTCATTTGATTAGAGCAAACAAAAAAACTGACATCACCTACAATGAACAAAAAATGTTTTGAACAAAGGATTTTAAGGACATTAGTATCAAAAAATGTCAATTAAGATAAACAGGTTTACAATATGCAGGCTCTTGTAACAAATCCGTATATATGCCCTTGGTTAACAAACACATGTTTGCATACTTGCATGTATGTTTATATGCACGTATGAATATATGGCCTCCTTTACCTGGCTATATGGTCCAATGCAACTAGGTGCCCAGCATGAAATACTTTGAACGTGCAGTACTTTTTTGGTCTGATCCTTTGTGCCCAAAACTTCAACATATGCATTGCCCAATTTGGCTTGACGCATAGGCAATTCTATAGTACTACGAGAAGGGACGCCCAAGTGACATTTATCTTCCGTTATAAAAGTAACATATGTGTCATTTGCCAAAGCAAATTCATTCATGTTAGCTAGGTATAGATGTATATATAGAACATTAACCCAACTAAGATCATCTCCGCTCAGTTGAGATTCAATTTTCTTCAAAATTGCAGCTAGATCCCTTTGCAGACCTGTCAAACGAATTAAAAATACCAATAATGCAATTTCAGATAAAACAAGGGCCTTTAAACTTTGAAGTTCGTTAATGGAAATAACAAGGACCACTTAAATATGAACTTTAAAGAGGAACACTTTGATCTTTATACCTCTATGAGGTATAAAGATCAAAAGAATTAATTGGCCTGCATGACATACCAAACACTCAAGGAACATAACCCAAATGACTATGCTGCCATCATGGAGATGTAAACAAGGCAATTGAATATAAAATCATGGAACGAGACAAATGACTAAACGTCCTTTAAATAGACAGTTATTTTGATAAATTAAAAATATCAGATATAATAGAGACAAGTTTAACTCAAACACATAACTAGCAAGAAAATTTACCTCTTGAATTACTAGAAGAATCTTGGACCCAGCAACCTATAACAAATGAATCTCCTTTTCTTCTTGAAATGAGCACAGTCCCATCCATATCGCCTTCTGAATCAGAACCAAAATCCACAAACTGGGGCTTGATAACATGTTCATTTTTCATATGATCTCCTTGGACTTCATAAATGCAGGACCTTTTGCCGTTATCACTGACCATGGTAGATTCATTCTTGGGTTCCAAATGAAAGGCTGAAGGGTGAAGAACCCCTACAGGTGCAATGCAATCAGATGAGTGCAGTACAATTTGAAACTCATCGAGCACAATCCTTGAATCCTGGGAAATTGGCGTGTTAGAGGCATAATATGAAACAAATGAAACTACTAAGGATGTCTTGAATTTGGTGATATGCACAGGGAGGATCCCAACATAGGCAAACAATTGTTATTATTGTACATGTGCGGAAGACAGTGTAATTGATCTACAACCTCCAAGATATGTAATGACAATAAAATCACACAATGTTTTCTATTTCATGATGAAAAAGAAATATGGACACAAAACATGAAGTAAAGATCAAGAAGATTAAGACGATGTTGATGATACAATAACTACTTTTTTGCAAAACCAAACCAACTATGGGCTACTTTGCTTCACTTAATTTTGGGTGTAGTAAAGCACAGACTTTATCTAGTTTATCCACTTCTAATAGTTTAGATGCACTTCCAGATGGCCAACTACTATCATGCATCTGCTCCAGCCAATCCATATCAAGCAATGGTAAAGAAATTATATTTTGTTGCACTTTAGAAAGTCATGGTGTTCTTATTTTATTTTACCGTTGAGAAGCAGACTGCTGCATCTAGTTGCTTCGCGATGAAGCAGAACAACAGAGACATAAACAGTGGGGGTAGAAGAGCAAGAAAACAAAACACCAAACTGGTGGGGGTCTAGTCCAATAAAAAGGTCCCTCCTAATATTTCCAGCATGAACTAGTGAATCACTATGTCGTGGCCATTCATGGCACATTCTGTAAATTGACTGGTTTCTCTCGACAAAGATCACGAAATTTTTTATATGTTCGAGAGCGCGCGATCTCCTCGAGCCCAACAAATGGCATTCAGGGAATCACCTTCAACTATGAGGGGCCCTTGAATGCCCAAGAAGATATGGAACACTGTGAGCATGGCCAAAGCTTCTGCTCTATTGGTATATCAAATCCCCACTGGCCAGTATAGGCAATTTGAGTTATTCAAATATGATCTTTAATGACACCCCAACACCTGAGGCCCAGAGTTAACAAGAGACCTCCCATCAATAACGTCAAGTCAAGGCGCCACCCACAAAGCATTAATGGACAAGTCTGGCACTTGACTATTTGTTTCTTGTCACCTCCGACCTTGCCCATTGTATTAGTTATGAAACCTCTCGTCAATATATTTCCTCCTTAGGGACAACATCATACATACCATTACAATTATAATGCTAGAAAAAGGATCTGAGTTGCTTTTAAACACCCACATGGCGTGGTCAGGGGGCCACAATGGCACAACTACCATTGTGCCCCATTACCCCATCCCAATTCTTACCTTTGTTATTGCTGGATACAGGACAGGCTTGCAGCATATACCTTCTTTTTTTATGTATGGTACAAAGCACCCTTGTTCAAAAGAAAGTCAATATTATTGGGATTTCAAATATTTACATACATCATTTCAGGTTCTTCTTTGAGAGAGAGGAGGGACAAGAGAGAGGGAAAGTTGGAGGGCTGGGGGAGAGATGACAAACGGCATCAGAGAGAGAGCGAGAGAGAGAGAGAGAGAGAGAGAGAGAGTACGT